GTTTGCTGCTTAGGCGCACGGCCCCACTACTTACCTCCCCTACACTACTTCTAACTTGTGTGTTTGTTTCGGGAGAAAACCTCACGATGACGCTAGCTTACGGCTGCATATCGCTGGACCGCTTCGCCTATGCTCATCGGCGATCTCTCTACTAATCTCTGGCATTACTCGATCCGGGTCAGATACTTTGGTCGCCACTATAGGAGGATTTTCATCTAGATGTGTCGAGCTCTACTGTGGATGCTGCCAAATTAACGTGTCCACCCGCCAACTGATGAGTATACACATTAAATCAAACAGGCACGTAAAACGGAAGCTGAAGAATCCACATTCTGAATATGTGCCAGTCTTTGAAGAGGCGATCACCACGGCGGGTTCGAAAAATGCAAACCAATCTGCGGAACTGGCGCTGAGACTCAGCAAGCTGATGGGCCCCATTATGTGTCTCATCTGCCAAGACGGCAGCAGGAACCATCGATACTCTAAAAAGCACATTCCCAATGTCCTGGCGTGGATCCAGTCAAATGATACCAATCACGATTTTTATCCCGACAACGTTGCTCTGCTGTTCTGTGCGGAGTGTAATGTGGTGCACTTGAACAACGAGATTGCATTAGACCACTATAGAAGTGCGATGCATGACCAGTGAGTATCTAGATCTGTCTCGTTTTGTCCAAGGCGCACATTTCATGTTGTAGGAACGCGGAAAAATACTGCATTCAGTGCCAACGCAGCTTCAACGATGTGCAGCTGTTCAAAGAACATCTTCAGACTAGAGGGCATCAAAGGCAAAACGGTGCCATTAATGGGTAAGTAAGGATGGATGCACTCAAGCGCTGTTGATGACTGGATGTTTCCGCAGTACCGACGCCGAGCCTGACCGGGAGAGCCAAAGTGAAAATGAAAACGACAAATCTGCCGAATGCAGCAGGATACAAACTGAGGAAGCAACCGGCGACATTGAGCACAATTTGCAAAAAAAAGTCTTAGGGGAGCTTGAAGGAATCGCGGACAAATTGCTGGCTTACAAAACAGTTTCAAGCCTCGCCTTGTTGAGAAAACTGAACGCGGAACTCGCCGCCCTTTCCAAATGCAAAAGCCCGACTGTCCCTTCTGAAATTGGTCACACACCAGACAATCGGCTGTGTTGCTCACTAGTTTAGGATCAGGAAATCCTCTCCTGGGCTTGCAGATCTTGCAGAAATAGGCATATCGAAAGAAAGTTAACTTCGAACGCCAGGGCTGAATAAACTAGGAAGTCACCCAAAATAACATGACAAGTTCCTATAAAAAAGTCCCTGCCAACATATAGATTTTACTAAATAACTCGACAAGATTTTTTAGTGATAAGTGCGCTTAAATCAGCGTCGTTGAAATACATTTTCTTGATTGAAACCGACTAGTTTTTACGCATTTGTGCTCATATTCTTAACCCTCTGTATAATCAATGGCTTATTAGTGCATGTTCCCACTCAAATCCAACACTCAAACCCTGTTGATTCCCCTAATTAATATTCCCTGTCTGTGCAGATTAGTTCAGCAAATATTAATAAACATGGAAAGTTTATTAAGGATAATTGACACATTTTTAAACAAATACGTTCGTACTGAAGCTTAGTTCAGGCAAAAAACCGTACATTTCAAGCTGTATGGGAAAACTGGGGGCTTAGAATGAGTTTCTACGTGATAACGAGACAAGTTCGCTACAAGGGCGATGCAGATGTTTGGAGCGAAGCTCCAACACTTACTGGTGGGTAAAGTTTTATTTATCAATGTGATCAATCATCCCGCAAAATTCTCGAGTTTTAAGCAATTGCCGGAAAACTATGTTCTTATATAGAAACATTCTTTTTTATATATAACTTCACGCATTTAAAGTCGTTTTTCCACATCCGTTCAAATTTAATGCGATTGTATGCAGCTATGTCGGACCTTAATTTTTCTCCTGGTGAAAATCTCTTCTACAAATATTTTGCCCTGACGAAAAAAGTTAAAGTCCTGCCTAATATACACTGAGTGGTGAATTTGTAGGCACAATTATGTATTCTGTAATAACGCCCATCCTTTGCTGCTGTGGAATTTTTGGCAATACAGTTTCCTTATTAATATTGAGACGAAAAGAGTTGATGGGTTCAGCGTACACATATTTGGCTGGTGAGTTTCTTTAAGCTAAACCATTCAGCGACTAGAGTTTTTACGTTGGACGAGCGCTAGTTTTAGCCTGTGTGGATTTGGGCATGTCCATAATACTGCTGCTGGGTGGAATCAGCAGGGGAATAATGTGGAGCTATGGATGGGTAACTTACGATTCTTTGTTCGGTTTACCTTTGTCCGGTGTAATGGTTATCCTGGGAGTTCTGGCCATCACCTGTCTAACCCTTGGTAGGAAAATTAAGGGTTTCTAAATTGCGTTTTCCCTCAGTTTATTAACTTGCAACGTTTTAGATCGCGTTATTTATTTATGGAACCCGCTGCAGTGCTCCAAACCCAAGTTCTGCAACTCGTGGGTTGCCAGACGGTTAATGATTGGCAGTTTTGCGTTCGCGGTCATTTTCAGTCTACCCTATTGCTTCATATATGATTGGAATGATGATGGCACTTTGACCACCACGGCTTTCTTCGATTCAATGTAAGTTTGCAAAAAAAAACTGGCAAAACGGTATAAGCTGATAAAAATCACTAGTTTCAGGCAAAGGCATTTCTGCTCTTTTGATCAAGACAATAATTGATTTTAGTTTATTTGCGCGTATTCTTGGGAAATTTGATAAAACGGAAATTTTGATTCACCGTAATCACTAGCGCATTCGTCAGATCGTCAGCAATATTCTATAAAGTCCCTTAGTCAATAAACTTGCATTCAATAACTCAATTACCGCGAACTTTAATGGATGTAAAGTGATGTTTATTTAATGTGCATGCAAGAAGAGCCTTTTTTCAAAGCCACTCTTGCTAGAGATAATTTTTCAGACAGTCGTAAGGGCCGAAAAATCGACCAATTTCAACCAATGGTCGCAAAAGCACAAGTGCAATTGCACTTTTACATTCTATTTTCTCATACTTTCTTCGAAATTTTAAACAACTTTCGTTCGGATTTATCAATTAAAAACCCATTCGCCATATCATCAACAATTACGTCAAGATCAGATAAGAATAACTTTACATCGATTAAGTGCTTCCTAGTTGAGTCAGGAATGGAAAATTTAATCATTGGAGGGGTTTTACAGGTTCACTGAAAAGAAAATGAGGATTTTGATTTGAAAAATTGAAAATAAAGTTTTCTGAAAATCCGCCGGTTATGTGTGGGAGTTTTGAAGGGACTGACACGGCCTCCGTGGCGCAATTGGCTAGCGCGTTCGGCTGTTAACCGAAAGGTTGGTGGTTCGAGCCCACCCGGGGGCGCAATTTTTTGACGAATTATTAATGTAAATTTTTTAATGTTTTTTATTATTTATTTTTATTTTTACATCTTCCATTTTGCTGCAAATTTGCTCATAATTTTGTAATTTTTGTGTTTATTTTAGATGGTATAAGGCATTTAATTGGTTCACGTTATTCGCATTCGCAGTGATTCCAGCCATTGTTTTGTTATTGGGCAACAGTTTCCTAATCCTGTCTTTGAGAAAGGCGAAAATGAACAGGAACAATTGCCGAACTAGTAAATGCAAACGAAGAGTAAGTTTGAGGCATAAATCGATTGAAAATACGCAGAAAACCGTCGAAAATGACTCGTTTGCTTAAAAAGAAGCGTTGTTTTCAGGTCGTTGAAAGTATTTTTAACTGCAGCTCGAATAACGTCGCTTTTGAGTGGCCATATAGAGTTTCCAATAAAATTCGTAACGCATTGAAACTTTAGAAGCTAAAAGGGGGCTTTATTTCGTCTGAAATCAGCCGATTCTTCTGCGAGAGAAAATGTTCGGTTTCCCTCGAAAAAACCACTTGAATGAATCCAATTTGTATTTTACAGGACCACACGAATTTAACCATCACTTTGGTGATGATCATAATTTTTTTTTTAATCACCAACGTTCCGGAAAGTTTGGCCTCCCGAACGGCGGCCATCAATTTGCTGTTTCAAGGCGATCATGAAAGAGCCAACACAACGACTTTGGAAGGGTTTCGACAAGTCTGCACCATTCTAAAAGCCGTTGATGTTAATACGAATTTCGTTTTCTATTACACTTTCTGTCCGGCATTTTGCAAAACGTTACGCACTGTTTGTCGATGTGTGAAAAGGCGACCGTCCAGCAATTTACAGGTAAAAATTTCCTCCTGTTGTTTATTATAATCCTTAAGTTTATTGTTAATGGTTTACCGTGCAGGTGAATGTGTTCGTTTTGAATGGATCCAAAGCCAATGAAATAGCGGGCACCTTAAAGGACAAGCAGCTCAGTGTTAAAGTGCACAAAACGCTGGAAATATCCAAGCGAAGCATTGAAACAGCGTTCGATTTTAACATTGCCGATTGCTGCTTGGAGAAGGCTAAAAACGGCTGCTCGCTAAACGAGAATGGAGATTATATGAAAATGGAGACCGACTTTGCGCCTCCTTTTAGTACAGTTCTGGAGGAATCCAGCTGCACCACTAATTGCAAGGAGGCGGGAAAAGAATAGTTGGCTCGAAACAGACGAAACACACCGAACCAGTCCAAATGTTTTTTGCGTGTAATAAAAAAAACATTCCCAAATAATTTTGCTTTGGTACATTTACATATTCGCAAAATCGTTGTTTCGAAGCACTATATCATCATCAATTGACTGGCTCTGAGTATCGCTGTCGCTCTAAAACAAATTAATATTTAAAATAAAAAAAGACAAAAAGTAATTCAATTTACACACTTACCACAATTAGGGTTTGTTGCTCCTTTTCCTGCTCTAACTTTGCCTTGTAGTTTCGCTCAAAGAAATGACACTAAAATGCAAATATTTGCTAAATTTTTAACTCTGCCTGTTCAAAGCTTCAAAAAACACAATTGAACAATCAACTTTGTCCAAATGGTTAAATCTTGAGTGCCTTGACATAAAACCCAGCAGAACTTTTTCGCTTGTAGTTGGACTCTTTAATATTTTTTTAATGGGTGCAACTGACTGACGATATTTTTGTGAAAAGATCGCAGGCCGAGAGGACTTAAAAACATGGGTCTTAAAAACGGTAATTTGTCGATGAAAATTGCGCAAAAAATAACGAAGTTATAAGCAATTAACGGAAAATTGCGCTCTTTTAACTTAACTCAAACTTTCAAGACCAAAAGGCCCTAAAATTAGTGTTTTCAGTTTGAAAATTGCTAAAAAAATAACAAAGTTATGAAAGAGTCAAGGAAAATCGCGCGCTCTTCAGTTAACATCTGGGAGTGGCGCAAGACAATTGAAATTTTGAAGAAACAAACTTTGAAGACCAAACCGATCAAACGGCCCAAAAATTAGTGATTTCAGTTGGAAAATTGCACAAAAAATGACAAAGTTATGAAGAAATCAAAGAAAATTGCGCGCTCTTCAGTTGACATCTTCTGGAAGTAGCGCAAGACATGCGAAATTTTGAGGAAACAAACTTTGAAGACAAAGCGGAGCAAACGGCCCAAAAAGTAGTGTTTTCAGTTGGAAAATTGCACAAAAAATCACAAAGTTATGAAAGAATCAAAGAAAATTGCGCGCTCTTCAGTTGAGATCTTCTGGTAGTGGMGCAAGACAATCGAAATTTTGAAGAAACAAACTTTTAAGACCAARCGGAGCAAAMGGCCCAAAAATTAGTGATTTCAGTTGGAAAATTGCACAAAAAATGACAAAGTTATGAAGAAATCAAAGAAAATTGCGCGCTCTTCAGTTGACATCTTCTGGAAGTAGCGCAAGACATGCGAAATTTTGAGGAAACAAACTTTGAAGACAAAGCGGAGCAAACGGCCCAAAAAGTAGTGTTTTCAGTTGGAAAATTGCACAAAAAATCACAAAGTTATGAAAGAATCAAAGAAAATTGCGCGCTCTTCAGTTGAGATCTTCTGGTAGTGGAGCAAGACAATCGAAATTTTGAAGAAACAAACTTTTAAGACCAAACGGAGCAAACGGCCCAAAAATTAGTGATTTCAGTTGGAAAATTGCACAAAAAATGACAAAGTTATGAAAGAATCAAAGAAAATCGCGCGCTCTTCAGTTGACATCTTCTGGAAGTAGCGCAAGACAATCGAAATTTTGAAGAAACAAACTTTGAAGACCAAGCGGAGCAAAGGGCCCAAAAATTAGTGATTTCAGTTGGAAAATTGCACAAAAAATGACAAAGTTATGAAAGAATCAAAGAAAATCGCGCGCTCTTCAGTTGACATGTTCTGATAGTGGCGCAAGACATGCGAAATTTTGAAGAAACAAACTTTGAAAACCAAGCGGAGCAAACGGCCCAAAAAGGAGTGTTTTCAGTTTGAAAATTGCTAAAAAAATGACAAAGTTATGAAAGAATCAAAGAAAATTGCGCGCTCTTCAGTTGACATCTTCTGGAAGTGGCGCAAGACACAATCGAAATTTTGAAGAAACAAACTTTGAAGACCAAGAGCACCAAACGACCCTAAAATTAGTGATTTCAGCTTGAAAATTGCGCTAGAAATAACGAAGTTATGAAAGAATCAAGGAAATCGCGCGCTCTTCAGTTGACATCTTCTGGTAGTGGCGCAAAACATTCGAAAATTTGAAGATATAAACTTTGAATACCAAGAGCACCAAAAGCCCCAAAAATTAGTGATTTCAGTTGGAAAATTGCACAAAAATGACAAAGTTATGAAAGAATCAAAGAAAATTGCGCGCTCTTCAGTTGACATCTTCTGGAAGTGGCGCAAGACAATCGAAATTTTGAAGATGCAAACTTTGAAGACCAATAGAACCAAACGGCCTCAAAAATGGTAATTTTACGTTGAAAATTGCTCTAAACTAGAAGTAACGAAGGGGCGCTCTTCAAGTTAGGCGGAAGTCAAGAAAGATCTTGGACCAGTTAAGGTCTTCTCAAAGTGGCAAAAACAATCTTATTTTTGCAGTTTTTCACATCTAATATACTATTTGCTCACCTTGTATAAGCCAAACGAGATCAAGACCAGTAGAAGAGAAGCGATGATTGGTCCCAATAGAAACACCCATAGGGGAACAGGCGCAGGACTATGCGCGAAGAACAAAAACACTCCCCAAGCAGCCACTCTGAAAGATAAAAATCAGGTGAATGTGAAAATGGGCGTCAAACTATGATTTTTTTTTCAAAAAAAATTAGGAAAAAATGATGCAAGAAATTTAGAACAAATTTAATGGATTTTGCTCTTTTTTTTGCTACCAAACCAACGGGTTTTCTTAACTCGACTCACCCGCCACTTTCAGTTGCTTGATGCGCCACTGGAACGTACGCTATAATATCCTTTTTCGTCAAAAAACTTTTATACTTTAACGCTAAAAAATACCGTTTTTAATAGACGAGGCAAACACGTTATTTAGTGAGGTTTATACCTAAGGAATCCATGTCCACAAGCGTTCGGATTTCAAATATTGCCAGCTCTGCAGTTTGATACAAAAACTCCCCTTTGCAAGAATATCGAATACAGCCGTAATCCGAGCCGCAACTAATTAAAAAGGTCCTGTTTACCGCAATTGGCAGGTCCTGGGGCACTTGAAGGGTCAAAATCTCTTTCGCAGCCGAAGGCATACAATCTATCCCGATATTATCGGTTGCCCCCTAAAAAAATTCATCAACTTTTTTAATCTACAGTTTTGCCGTTAAAGCCTACATGAATGGAAGTGACATTGAAGATGTTAATCCCGTTGTATTGGTCGACAGGAATGAAAAGATCCACATCGATTCGCAGCGGAGAAGGACCATGTTTCTCTAGCGAAAATTGGTGCAAAACTTCCACATTTTCGCTGTGGCTTTTGAGCGATAGCTCGGCGCTTTCGGGCACCGATTTCCTGGAACAAGATTAAAATTTAACTTATTTGAAAATTAATCAGTGCACACGGCAACAGCTCACCCAATAATATAGGGAACACTATGCAAAACTACCGGAATTTGCAATTCAGTTTCAGTTTTACTAGTGGGATCATTTACGCCCAAACAGGCGACTTCGCCTTTGAAGTCGAGATGAGCGACATCCGGTGTGATTTCGAGCACATCGAAAATAAAGGTTTTCTGGAATCACACAACTTTATGTTGTCAATAACATCAAATTTCCCTCCCTGCTTGTTCACACTTTCTGCTCCAGTCACTGTTTCACTTACTTGTATTGAACCAACCAGCATCATGTACTCATTAAACGGACATGTATAATGATCATCGTTTTTCGTGCAATCTTTTGCATTTCTGAGGAGCAATTCATCAGAACCGTGCAGTTTTACTGAACACTGATAGGCGGGTTCTCCGTCATTTTGCACCTTAACATCCAGACTGATTTCCTTGTTTAATCCCAAGACCAAAGTGTTACTAGAAGGGACATGCACAGATAATGAAAACTATATAGTGTATAGCGAGTTTTCTATGTGATTTACCTACTGGCTTTCAGCTGGAGGGTTAAAAAGGTGTTGCAAATGTTATCATCACCACAGCCATGCGAATACGGCACTATGGAATTCAGTGTTTTCTCTCCATGAGCGATAACACCTTTGGTGGATGTTTCAATGCTCAAAACACTTGTAAACGGTGATATGTTCATTATTTTCTGAAAAAATATCGATAAAAGACTTGTGCTACAGGGCGTTTTAATTCTGAGACACGCCCACAAAAAACTGATGCGAATGGAGTTTCTAGAAGTGGTTTGCGCGGCGCAGAACCACTCTGAAGATGCATGTCGTACTTGCGAAACGTTAAGGAGAAATTCATTTCAAAATGTCCTTAAAGCTCAGAAAAGCAAACAATTTATCGCAACTGAGTATTTTCGTTACAAAGCCTTGCGTTATTAGAACTCTTTGAGGTTTTAAAGTGTCATTTTACCACTGCTTTAAATGTCCAGCATCTCGCCAATTTAACCCACTTTCGTATTTTGGGCACAACAGTYGAAAAASATTCCGAAAATACACGCGTATAACCGGCGATTTAGCGCTTGTAGGCCTGCCGGTTTGCCTATAATTCAAGTRGCGCTGTCAAAAAAAGAGCCTACTATACGAGCAATCGCAGCTAATCCGGAAACTTTCAAGACCGACATTCCGAATGCGAAATGAATTTGATATTGCAATTTCGCAAAAACGCTGTGTGCAAATAAAATTTATTGAAACTGATTAATTTTGCAGGCTTTTAGGCCGTTGTTGAAAATAATTTATTCCGGACGTTTCGTAAGGGCGAGTGGATGGCACAATCCCTGAAGTTGCAAGACTGCACTCGTGCTGGCGAAACGTCACGACAAAATTCTTTTCCATATGAGTCACAAAACTCGAAAAACAACAGTAAATCGTTGAATAAATACAACTTAAACCGCGACTATTTTCGTTTCAAACCCTTGCGCTGTTAAAACTTTTTGAGGTATTAAAGTGTCATTTTACTACTGTTTTAATTACCTAACTTTTCCCCAATTTAACTCCCTCTGATATCTGCACATCCCTTCTTATCTCGCACTCAATTGGTGAAAAACATTCCGAAAATGCGTGCGTATAACCCGCGATTTAGCGCTTGTAGGCCTGCCGGTTTGCCTATAATTCACATGGCGCTGTCAAAAAAAGAGCCTACTATACGAGCAATCGCAGCTAATCCGGAAACTTTCAAGACCGACATTCCGAATGCGAAATGAATTTGTTATTGCAATTTCGCAAGAACACTGTGTGCGAATAAAATTTATTGAAACTGATGAATTTTACAGGTTTTTAGCCCGTCGTTGAAAACAATTTATTCCTGACGTTTCGTAAGGGCGAGTGGATTGCACAATCCCTGAAGTTGCCAGACTGCACTCGTGCTGGCGAAACGTCACGACAAAATTATTTTCCGCATGAGTCGCAAAACTCGAAAAACTAAACAGCAAATCGTTGAATAAATACAACTTAAGCTCCGACTATTTTCGTTTCAAAACTTTGCGCTGTTAAAACTCTTTGAGGTATTAAAGTGTCACCTCACTACTGTTTCAATTACCCAACTTTTCCCCACTTTAACCCACTCTGATATTTCCATATCACTTGTTATCTCGCAATCAATTGTCGAAAAACATTCCGAAAATACTCGCGTATAACCGGCGATTTAGCGCTTGTAGGCCTGCCAGTGCCAAAAGCGCTGTCAAAAAAAGGCCTACTATACGAGCAATCGCGGGCTAATCCGGAAACTTTGAAGACCGACATTCCGAATGCGAAATGAATTTGATATTGCAATTTCGCAAAAACACTGTGTGTAAATAAAATTTATTGAAACTGATGAATTTTGCAGGCTTTAGGCGGTCGTTGAAAACAATTTATACCTGACGTTTCGTAAGGGCGAGTGGACTGCACAATCCCTGAAGCTGCAAAACTGCGCTCGTGCTGGCGAAACGTCACGACAAAATTATTTTCCGCATGAGTCGCAAAACTCGAAAAACTAAACAGTAAATCGTTGAATAAATACAACTTAAGCTCCGACTATTTTCGTTTCAAACCCTTGCGCTGTTAAAACTCTTTGAGGTATTAAAGAGTCATTTCACTACTGCTTCTTCATTCTCTTCAATTACCCAACTTTTCCCCAATTTAACCATTTCCATATCCTTTCTTATCTCGCACTCAATTGGCGAAAAACGTTCCGCACGTATAACCGGCGATTTAGCGCTTGTAGGCCTGCCGGTTTGCCTATAATTTACATGTCGCTGTCACAAAAAGGGCCTACTATACAGGCAATCGCGGGCTAATCCGGAAACTTACAAAACCGACGTTCGGAATCCGAAATGAATTTTATATCGCAATTTGCCCCAAAACACTTTAATTAATTAAAAAGTGCGACATGTCGCAGCTATTCATGAGACACTAATGGGTTTTCGCGCCTTTAGGCTGTCGAGGATAAAGATTTGGTTCGAATGAACGTTTCGCCAGCACGAGTGCCTTCAATCTTCAGAGATTGAGCAAGCCAACGAATGGCGCCGTGCGTGCGACACATCAGAAAGAAATTCTAGATTCGTTCGAGCGTTTCTCTTACCTTTAATTCCACGTGAAATTCTGTGCAAGTCCTCACTTTTGAACTAGCAGTAACAGTCCTGGAAACTGTGTCTACAACCGAGCGATAATCCAGGTCGATCACAATTTGGAACTCCATTTGATTTCGATTGATTTGCGCGCTTCTTTCCGTGTACAAAATGCAAAAATTCAGCTTGAAACTGTCGGTTTCGTTTGAAATCGACGCAATGTCGGGATATAACTGCGCCTGATAGTCGATGATGCTGAAACTCTTCAGTATAAAGGCCTGGTCTGATTTGTAGGCCCCAATGGCGATGTCTGGAAAATTAGCCAGTTTCTTCTCTATTTCAACGAGCCCTAAGAGCCAATGTTACCATTGTGACCGTTTCTATCAATATCATTGCCTTTGGACAGGCCCATTCCGAAGCCTTTCACATTGACTACGTCCATGTGGAAGTCAGATGGGGATATTCTTTGGCTGAAGTGATTGGTCAGTCCTTCGGTACTTCCCCTGTAGATATAAACGGCTCCTGCGCCGTCGTCCTCATAAGGGGCTGCAATAGCAACATCTGGAAAGCCACTGGTTCAGTTCAGCTAGTGTGGTTGATAACTTACCATTAAACCCATCCAGATCGAAGTCCCCCACAGCAGCCATTGCAGACCCAAATCTGCCTCCTATCTTCGCAAGGCCAGTCAATTTTCTTCCGCGAAGAAACGACTGAAACATCGCACATGAGAGTTCAATTGAGTGCAGCAAACCTCGATTACCTTAGCGGATGTTCCCTTGTAGAAATATACACTTCCTTCGTCCCAAGTCTTTCCTGCCGCCGTAGGGGCTCCAATGAGTAGATCAACAATTTGATCATTGCTCACATCTACGGCTAGCAAAGTTGATCCGAAGTAGGCGCCAGGTTCTTCTCCTTCGAAACTGGCCACCACCCGAGATTCTTCACTGGCATTAATATCCTGGCTGAAGATAGTCACCTTGAATAATTGTAAAATTGTAATCTGCTGATTGGTTAGAGAGCAAGTTTTAACTACTTTTCCTTTCAAGTCGTTGGCGCGAGGCGCTCCCGCAACATACCAAGCTTCCTGAGGGATGAAGTGAGCCATTATTGTTGAGTAACCTGGAACGTATTGATTAGGATGATAAAAAAATTGGGTGATTTTTTACCAAAATACGTGTCTTCGTCTGATGATCGCATGGCTCTTTTGGGGAACAGTCCGATGATTTTGTTCTCGTACACTGAATAAGACATTATGGCCCCTGAAAGTGTGTGTTATTCAGTCAAAATTAACATAACTGGCGAAAAATATTTTAATTACCTACATGCGACTGCACTTTTAAATTCGCGCGAAACTTTTCGCAAATTATTTTTTTCCCCGAAAAACAAATAAACTGGAAAAGTGCTGCTGGCCTCACTACAAAGAGGGCACTTTCCTCCTCAAATAATTGCGAAAAGTGCAGTTCAGCGGCGATTTTTTTGAGATTCTTTTCGAATTTTTAAGCCGGCAAGTGCACTTGTGACTTTCGGCGAAACTTTGCAAAGTGATTTTCAATAATTTTTCCTGAGCAAACAAACATAGCTGCAAAAGATCTTGTTGGCTCACTGGATAGCTAGCATTTCGCGCTATTATTGCCCGAAAATGCAGTTCAGTGACGTTGTTTCGGGATTTTTTGCGAATTTTTTTATCATGCAGTTCTAACCACCATGGAACTTTTTTACAATTATTTTCAATAATGTTTCCAGAGCAAATAAAAAAGGTGAAAATTAACTAGTTACGCCACTGGACAGAGCGCATCCGACTCTATTAAGGAAATAATGTGCAGTCGTGTAGCACTTTTTTGTATTTTTTTGCGACTTCCTGCTAGAATTTTTACCAAATGATTTTCAATCATTTTTACCAAGCAAACTAAAAAAAGCTAGAAAAATTCTTGTTGAGCCACTGAATAGAGCTGATTTTTCGGTATTATTGGCTTAAAACGCAGTTCAGTGGCAGTGTTCCGATTTTTTGCGAATTTTTAATCATGCGAGTGCACTTTTGACTGCGCCAAACATTTTAAAAATTCAATAATTTTTCTCGGACTAACTAGGTATGCTGAAAAAACACTGGTTACACCACTTAATAGAGCGCGTTTGACTCTATTAATTAGGCGATTCGTAAATGAGTGGCGTTTTTTCGTTTTTTGCCGCTGCTCAATCATTGTTCCTGAGCAAACTAAAAGAGCTGGAAAATTTTCTATTGAGCCAATAGACAGGGCACACCTTACAGTATAAATTTCCGGAAAACGCAATTCAGTGGCGGAATTTTGGAATTTTTGACGCATTTTACTCATGCGAGTGCACTTTTGACTTCTCACAAAAAAATTTACAAACTAATTTTCAATATTTTATACCCAGCAAACCTAAAGGTCTGGAACAAATTTTGTTGAGCCACCAAATAGAGCAAATTTTGGCGTATTCCTACCGTAAAACGCACTTCAGTGCCGTAATTATCTGATTTTTTGCGAATTTTTAGTCATGCGAGTGCACTTATGCCTTCCCGCGAAACTTTTCCCACATTGATTTTTACAATTTTTTCTCCTAACCACCATGGAACTTTTTTACAATTATTTTCAATAATGTTTCCAGAGCAAATCAAAAAAGGTGAAAATTAACTAGTTACGTCACTGGACAGAGCGCATCCGACTCTATTAAGAAACTATTGCCCACATTGATTTTTACAATTTTTTTTTGCAAAAACCAAATTAGCTGAAAAAATACTGCTTACACTAGTGAATAGAGCACAGTTATCTCTATTAATTCCGCAGAACGCAGTTCAGTGGAACCTTTCTCTGAATTCGGTGAGAATTTTTAATCAAGCGAGTGGACTTGCGACTTCCCGCAACTATGTGCAAAATAATTTCCAAAAAATGTTTTCAAAGCAAGCCAAGTAAGCTGCAAAGCACTGGTTACGCCCCTGTATGGGGCGCATTTCACTCTATTAATGGCGCAAAGAGTTGCTTTGTTTTCGGATTTTTTGCGCTTGCAGCTCTGACATTCCGCGAAAATTCTGCAAAATTATTTCGAATATTTTTTTCCAAGAAACCTAATTAAACTGCAAAAGCGCTAGTAGTCTTCCTGGATAGAGCGCACTTGTCTCTATCATTGTGACAGAGTGCCGCTCAATGCAGCGTTTTTCCGAATTTTTGCAAATTTCTTTTCAGGCGAGCGCATTTTAGCTTTCCGAAGAAACTCCTTGCAAAACATATTTCAACAAATTTTCCAGAAGAAACTAAGTGAGCTGGAAAAGTCCTGGTCACGCCTCTTGTTAGAGCGCATTTGACTCTATTAATGGCGCAAAACGCAGTTGCGTGGCTCTGTATTTGTATTTTTTGCGAAATTTTAACCATGCAAGGGCACTTTTAACCCGTGAATCTTAATTTTCGCAATTTTTTTCTTATAAAAATACTTATGTGAGAAAATCAGTTTCAAAAATCACTCTCAGCCGAAACAAAAAACAAATTGAAATTGACTCTAATTTTGGTTTTTTCAAGCTGATTTTGTCACATTTCAAGATCGACTTGGCGGTTTTTCACTTACCACTAAATTTCTTGACTCCAGGGCTTCCTAATATAATTCGTTCCTAAAACCCACATGAAAAAAATTGTCAATTCGTTTAAGTTTAAAAACAATAAAGAAAACTAATTTTTTGGAGAAAATTTTGCAGGAAAACGTGTAAAACTGGCAAAAACATCACTTAATGCCATGAATTCCAATAGTTCGGCACTGCAGACGACGAAACTGATTACTTCTAATAACCGACTACCAAATGTGCATAACAATGTTGATGAACAAACAAAAAATAAGGCAATGCTTACAGGAGAAGCAAAGAAAACGTCAAATCCTGCCATGGCAAAGGCAAGATTATAGTATAACTTTCCAGCTAAATCACGGGACAAATCTGAAAACAATCAACAAAATAAGGAGAAAAATGAAGCGATTTTTTGAAAAGAAAAAATGGATTAGTCCTACTTACCAGCTCCCAAACTAATCGCATTAGTGGGCGCAATCACAGCAGGATTTTCGTAAATAAGCGAGCTATTTTTCATATACAGGCAATATCCCCTTGTGAAATAGCTCATCGGTTTTGTATCAGGAGAGCGAGTTCGTGGTGCACAAATCTAAAATACCCAAAAAAAATTCTAAAAACATTATTTGCTTTGCAAAAAATGAGAAGCAATAAACTTTTTTTGCACTTTTTAGGCACATTTTAAGCAGAAATCCTTACCACTACAGGCCCATGTTGGTGACTGTCCCCATCCATCGACATTCCCAAGAAGTTTCCATTTGGTACAGTTGAGTTCAAGGAACGTCCTGGGACAAATTCAGAAAAAGTCCAAAATAGCGAGTTAAGTAAAACGTTTCTGCCTTCCGGCACTAGTCGAAAAATGCCTTACCAAATGGATATTGAGTACAAAAAGAACTATCCTCCTTAATCGCACAATTGTAGACATCGCCTCCTGCATCTGGATTAGCAACATTTTTTGGCGCTCCCACTATTAGCCTAAAAAATAAATTAATTAACACACTAAACAACAATGGCATACATTTCTACTGAGAACTAGAGCTCATGGATCAGCAGCAGCCAAACCGATGATTTCAACCAAACCAAATACTCACGAAACACCATCACCAACTTGCAACAACAAGCTGTAAGAAAAATAGGTATTTTTCACGAAATCGTTACTAATAACTATCACATCTTCGACGTTAAAACTGTAGCCGTTCACCTGCGAGCTTTGAAAGCTCAGGTACGCGAAAAAGAGACCGCAGCGGAGCTTCAGGTTCATTGCAAGCGCACCGTATGACTACACAATGCTAATAAACAAATAAAAGCCAATAAATGAAATTCCGATTACTAATACATTTGCTAATTATGAGTCGACAATCTGTTATTAATACAACCATCCAAATGTGCTTGACTGAACGGGCAAATCATGAATGCGACGGAAACTACAAAGATAAAGTTTGTCTGTTGATACGGTGAGGTCATGAGGAAAACCACAACGAAAACTTGTCTCTTGATACAGTTTTTTTCTTGTTTAAGCATCAAAAATTGAGTTTTCCTTCAATTTTTAGTCTGGGATTGTATCAGCTCAAAATGTAGTAAATACCGGTCCCTTGGTCCATCAAGAAGCCTTAAAGCTTGGTCCTGACGTTTCGCTCGCACGCAGGGCTGCCGTCCTCAGGCAGGCTCGTCATCGCAATGCAGAAGCTCGTTGCTGGATATCGAACTCTATTTAGACACTCATTGGACTAGAGAAAATCACGCACTTTATAAACCAAAAAAAAAACGTTTGTCGCATTAAAAGTAACTCATTTTCGCATTTTTTATTATTTTATTATTAGAAGCGGTAGGATTTTCGAGTACACGTGCCAAAGATTAAGGCAATTGCGCACGTGGCCAAACAAGAAGCAACAGGTCGCGGAAAAGGGGCCTTATTTGGAAACTCCGCTGTGAAAGTTAGTCTTTCGTCAGATTCCTGCCGCAGAATTTCGCTTCCTCAAAGTTTCCCAATCGCGTAGTTTTGCGCTACACTTTATGTGTTTCTTAGGTAAGAATTAGTGCGTCAGGTTTTGTCCGACATAAAAGTGATTCAGTGTCCCTGGTTTTTCTTTTGAGTTTAAAAAAATCCTCTAACAATTTTTTTTGTTCGTTGCTGTTCTACTTTAAATGCAAAAAATCGTGAAACTGCTTCACATTTCTAGCTGCCGCAGTTCAAGAGATTCAACTTTTCAGCTCCTTCGGCAGAGAAAAGCCATTATTAACCTGTTTTGCAATGTCGAGCGACTGCTTTATTTCAGGTCAAGCATCGCACTTTTCCCAAGAGCTAATTTTGCCTTTAGATTCAACATGCAAGTAGCAGAACAGCACTTTTTTCTGTTCGTTCAAACCACCAATGAAAAACTGGCGAATTTCTCTTATTGGGGAACTGGAAATCGAACACTGTCGTTTTCACACTGAAAAAGCGTTTATTTATAAAAAGAAACTAACAGCTACTTAAACTTAACAAATTCGTCCAACTTGGTCGGTAAGTTCGAATAATTAAGTTACGTTGCATTTGCTATCTACGCTCGTAAAATGTATATACAATTTTCTATTTAGAATATCTTCTTGTCCTAGTCTTGTCTAAAATATCAACTGTGGGCCTCACACTATTTAAATTTCACAGTCAAACATAAAACACCGATTGGCTCATTTGGAAATTTTCGTTTTTTTGTGGGGGGTAAAACCAGAGTGCTTTTTTAGCTTCTCCCAGTCGCAGTTTGGAACATTCACATCCACGAACAACATACCACAAATTGAAAGGAAAAACGTGGAAAAATCCTAAAACTCAACCCGAAAGTTCCAACATAACATTTTTCACAGCCGGTTATTCATTTTTTTACACCAACGTTTGGCTGCAGTCGAATTTACCCTGTGATTGCGGGCAAAAACCGCCCTAAGGCATCAACTATCACCGTCCCTGTCCAATACCCGAGTATTTTCTCAGCTCGCCCCTTTCGGCACGCATTCTATCGTATTCTATAAGCACATGCCAGGATTCTGTGAACACCAAGTGGGCCATAAAGCGGCTGGTTTCAGGCCTCGGCTGATCAAGCGCTCCCTATGAGTGGCCAATCTCGTGTACACATCTTCTGGGATGGAAAATGTGGTCGTATCCAGTTGCGGATCAGTCCAGAGTCGTTCGGCTAGAGCAGAAGCTCGAGGCCACAATCGTGAATCCAGATTAGATTCATCTACTTGTTCTGTCCATAAGCACGCTTCTCCACCTGAAATAATTAACTATTACAATTGCGGTAAAAAAACAGAAGTCGAAAAAATATTGCAAAATTCATCAGTTTCAATAAATTTACCTGCACACCGTGTTTTTGAGAAATTGCAATAGAAAATTTACTTTGCATTCCGAATGTCGGTATTGAAAGTTTCCGGATTAGCCCGCCATTGCTCGTATAGTAGGCCGTTTTTTTGACAGCGCCATGTGAATTATAGGCAAACCGGCAGGCCTACAAGCGATAAATCGCCGGTTATACGCGCGGATTTTTGGAATGTTTTTCGACAATTGAGTGCGAGATAAGAAGGGATATGAAGATATCAGATGGGGTTAAATTGGGGAAAAGTTGGGTAATTAAAACAGTAGTGAAGTGACACTTTAATACCCCAAAGAATTTTAACAGCGCAAGGGTTCGAAACGAAAATAGTCGGGGTTTAAGTTGTATTTATTCAACAATTTACTGTTCTCATTGGCTCATGTGGAAAATAATTTTGTCGTGACGTTTCGCCAGCACGAGTGCAGTCTTGCAACTTCAGGAATTGTGCAATCCACTCGCCCTTACGAAATGTCAGGAATAAATTGTTTTCAACGACGGCCTAAAAACCTGTAAAATTCATCCGTTTCAATAAATTTTATTTGCATACAGCGTTTTTGCGAAATTGCAATATCAAATTCATTTCGCATTCGGAATGTCGGTCTTCAAAGTTTCCGAATTAGCCCGCGATTGCTCGTATAGTAGGCCCTTTTTTTGACAGCGCCATGTGAATTATAGGCAAACCGGCAGGCCTACAAGCGATAAATCGACGGTTATACGCGCGGATTTTTGGAATGTTTTTCGACAATTGAGTGCGAGATAAGAAGGGATATGAAGATATCAGATGGGGTTAAATTGGGGAAAAGTTGGGTAATTAAAACAGTAGTGAAGTGACACTTTAATACCCCAAAGARTTTTAACAGCGCAARGKTTYGAAACGAAAATAGTCGGRGYTTAAGTTGTATTTATTCAACRATTTACTGTTYAGTTTTTCGAGTTTTGCGACTCATGYGGAAAATAATTTTGTCGTGACGTTTCGCCAGCACGAGTGCAGTCTKGCAACTTCAGGRATTGTGCAATCCACTCGCCCTTACGAAAYGTCAGGAATAAATTGTTTTCAACGACGGSCTAAAAACCTGTAAAATTCATCMGTTTCAATAAATTTTATTYGCAYACAGYGTTYTTGCGAAATTGCAATAWCAAATTCATTTCGCATTCSGAATGTCGGTMTTSAAAGTTTCCGRATTAGCCCGCSATTGCTCGTATAGTAGGCCSTTTTTTTGACAGCGCCATGTGAATTATAGGCAAACCGGCAGGCCTACAAGCGSTAAATCGCCGRTTATACGCGCGKATTTTYGGAATGTTTTTCGCCCATTGAGTGCGAGATAAGAAGGGATGTGGAGATATCAGAGGGGGTTAAATTGGGGAAAAGTTGGGTAATTAAAACAGTAGTGAAGTGACACTTTAATGCCTCAAAGAGTTTTAACAGCGCAAGGGTTCGAAACGAAAATAGTCGGGGATTAAGTTGTATTTATTCAACGATTTACTGTTTAGTTTTTCGAGTTTCGCGACTCATGTGGAAAATAATTTTGTCGTGACGTTTCGCCAGCACAAGTGCAGTCTTGCAACTTCAGGAATTGTGCAATCCACTCGCCCTTACGAAACGTCAGGAATAAATTGTTTTCAACGACGGCCTAAAAACCTGCAAAATTCATCCGTTTCAATAAATTTTATTTGCATACAGCGTTTTTGTGAAATTGCAATATCAACTTCATTTCGCATTCGGAATGTCGGTCTTCAAAGTTTCCGGATTAGCCCGCGATTGCTCGTATAGTAGGCCCTTTTTTTGACAGCGCCATGTGAATTATAGGCAAACCGGCAGGCCTACAAGCGGTAAATCGCCGATTATACGCGCGGATTTTCGGAATGTTTTTCGCCCATTGAGTGCGAGATAAGAAGGGATGTGGAGATATCAGAGGGGGTTAAATTGGGGAAAAGTTGGGTAATTAAAACAGTAGTGAAGTGACACTTTAATACCTCAAAGAGTTTTAACAGCGCAAGGGTTCGCAACGAAAATAGTCGGGGCTTAAGTTGTATTTATTCAACGATTTACTGTTTAGTTTTTCGAGTTTCGCGACTCATGTGGAAAAGAATTTTGTCGTGACGTTTCGCCACGAGTGCAGTCTTGCAACTTCAGGGATTGTGCAATCCACTGGCCCTTACGAAAAGTCAGGAATAAATTGTTTTCAACGACGGCCTAAAAACTTACAAAATTCATCATTTTCAATAAATTTTATTTGCACACAGTGTTTTTGAATTTTCGAATGACGGTTTTGAAAATTTCCGGATTAGCTCGCGATTGCTCGTATAGTCGGCCCTTTTTTTACAGCGCCATGTGAATTATAGGCAAACCGGCAGGCCTACAAGCACTAAATCGCCGGTTGTACGTGTGTATTTTCGACAATTGAGTCCCAAACAAGACGTTAGAATCAAAATGCGTTCAGCTAAATGGGCGAATCATCAAGAATGTTTTTTCCACGACGGCCTCAATGTCCGAAAAACTCAACAGTTTCAAACAATGGCAGCGAAAGTTCTTATGTAGTCGAAGACATCGCGTATGGCATTTAAATGAATGTTAATGTGCTAACTTTCTCTGATAAAATTAAGTACGACGGTTTGTATGCCACAGTGTGAAAGATTTCCTAAAATTTTTGCATAGTATTCACTAAGCTGCTGCTATAGAATTGGATCGCGTCCAACTAAACTTTAATCGAACAGCCGCAAGAAACTACTTCCTTCATAAGCTGACAAAATTAGCTAAATAACGTATTAGTTACGCACGTAAATTCGGCTTAATACGACATTATCCACTTTTAGCTGCTAATTATTTATTTATTCGTGCTGCGGACTACGTCAGAGATTTAGTGACGCATTAAAATAAAATTTGTGATTCTGTTGGTAACGATTTAATCGTTTCAATTCACTTATCCATCACGTTTTTTACAGTTCAAGAATACGACTTTGCAATGGCAACCACGCATCCAAATCGATATTTGAGGACAAACCTGTCAGCGTGACATTTGGGGTTAGTTTTCCAAACATACTCTTCAAAACATTCAAGTTCATTTGGATCCAAATGAAAAATACTAAATGCATTGCTGACTGTTTCAAAATGAAAATATCGACGGTTGCAAAGGCAACACAAACTTGAAATGTGAATTTCTTTGGATCTGATCGATACATTCCTGCTCAACCGTTATGACTAATTCGAATTGGAGTTAATCTGAAACCAATGTTCTTTTCCGGATTCTTTAAGCTATCCCTAATTTTCCTGTTGCGTGTCGTTGGAACATAATTTTCCAATCGTCTGAATTGCGCCGAAGAAAAACGGGAAAATTATACTATTCCATTTATTCAATCGTGGCATTGTTCGGCGCAAGCATGCCAGCAATTAATTGTCTAATAATTATTATTATTGTCGTTATTATTTAAGTGAAAACCTTCTATTTTGAAGGTCCATTAATTTTGGAAATAGCACTATTGACTTTTGGATCAACTGAGAAATAAAAAGCGAAAGTGTTTTTTTCAAATCCAGACTTGTTGGTTCGTCACTTTTTCGCATTTGGGGATTCTTGCGGTTACCTTTGAACCGTTTCATACGATTTTTTCGGAAAAAAATCATCTGAATGCATAACTTTCCAGCTAGAAACGGGCAGATCGCCAAAAAAGCGCTTACCTAAAATTTTGTCCTTATTAAGTCGAAGCTGTTGCCACGGCCTGTGATTGTAGATCGTCTGCCAAGGCCTATAAGGGTCGCATGCCGCTTCGCCCGTTTCTCTCCAGCGGCCGAAGCCGCAGTCCAAATACCAGGCGTCCACATGCGAAATCAGCACTTTGTAACCATCAGCTACCAGATCTGGAGTATCGGCCCATTGACTAGCGCCCCAGCTTTGCACAGTCACTTGGTTCTAGAACAGACAAAAAATTCAAAGTTGAGTTTATGGCTCAAACTGGAAAGGAGTTGCACTCTTACCTTGTCCAGGTATTTGCCAATATACGGCCGTTTGCTTAGCCGACTGGACCAAACGATCACTTGGGGCACTTTCACACCTCCATTTGCCTGCTGCAGTCGCCCAAGCGCTTTCGCGGTAAATTCGCCCCACAAATCATGCAAATCGGTGAAGTTGCTTAAGGAGTTCACTTTTTGCAAATGTTGCGCCCAACATTCCAAGTTGACTTCATCGCCTCCCAGGTGGAATATTTCCCGTTCGTCGCTCAGCTCGAGCAAGTCTCTGAAATAATTTGTTTTCTGTATAAATGTTGACGCCTTTTTTCATACAATTGGCAAAACTTGCTGCTGGGCGGAAATCGGCTATGAAAGCGAAAAGAATTGATAACGCTTCAAGAGCCATTGGAATAATAATTAAGTACCCGAGCCAGCGAGCGTGACCAGAATCAGCAATTTTACATTTCGCCTTAATACCAGAAGCGTTAAAAAAATGTAAAAGCGATTTTTAAACTCATTTGAAATGGCAAAGGAAAACGGGGCTTAAGCGACACTGAAAGAAAGGAAATGTTTTGCGACAGAAATAATAGTTAACTGTCTAAGATCGCTGCCATTGTCTCAAACTGAAGAGTTTCGGGCTTAGTAGAGCCCTAGTAGAACATAATTCCTTTAGAACGTTTCGCAAGCACAAATGTCCTGCACCTTCAGAGTGCTTTGCTCAAGTAGGATCTAGATGACTAGTTTTATTTGCACACCGTGTATGGCGCAAATTGCAATATAGCTCGCATCGCTTTCCGAATGTTGGTCGTGAAACTTTCCGGATTACCCGTGATTGCTAGTATAGTAGGCCTTTTTTCGGACAGCGCAATGTAAATTATGGGCAAACGGGCAGGCCTACAAGCGCTAAATCGCCGGTTATACGTGCGTATTTTTCGCATGTTTTGCGACAATTGTGCCCAAAAATATTAGTATCCAAGTGGGTTAAATTGGGGAAACGTTGAGCAATTTAAACAGCAGCAAAATGCCACTTTAAGACCTCCAGCACTTTTTGAACCCCAACTAGTCAGGGCTTTAGTTGAACTTTACTATTGACACTAATGGAGAAATTGGCTGGTGAATCCATCTAAAATCATCTATTGTAGCTCATCTTCATCATTCTAGAAAACTGTTTAAATAACCAATTAAGTACTCACCGATAAACTTTTTCTAAAACATCGTAAACATTGGGGTTGTCTGGATTCAATTGTCCACATGGAGGCTCTCCGCAATACAAACTCCACGGCTTCTCATTCACGCATACGGCCAATTCGCCCAGCCCTTAAAAGGCGCAATAAATACATGATGGTTGCAGTTTGGCAATCGGTTTTACCTTCTTTTGGTCCCCACGTCCATCCATTTCCTGCATGCGCTGGCACGTCTACTTCCAAAACCGTTCTAATCCCCCGAATTCTGGCGAATTTCACCAAAGCCTTCACTTCCTCGGGAGAATACGTTTCTTGGGGACTGTACGAGCCAGTTTTTGCTAGTTGAGGCACGTTTGGAAGCACCATTGGAAAACTCTGGGAGTCGCTCAGGTGCCAATGGAACACGTTCAGTTTGGTGGCGGCCATCCCAACCTGCCAGTTGCAAATATACACATTTAGACACGTTTAATAAACGTCCTTTTTGATTGATTTATACAGGGTTATTCACGCTATACGGCAGGGAAGTTTGCGGCGTTTGATTTTTAAAAAGTATTATTTTATGAATTGTCCGACGCCTACCGAGCGCACATTTTAAAAATATTTTTGTAATGTACAGGGTGTCCTAAAAGCTCTAAAGGTATCAAAGTTGCGTTTTTTTTAAATGGAATGTCCTGTATATTCTTGCAACATTTTAAAATTGATCAATATTTCACTAACCAAAACCCGCTCCAGGCTTTCGATGGACATGAAGTTCCTGGCAGTGTCAACCATCAGTCCCCTATAAGGAAATGCGGGAGAATCCTCCACAGTTGCTCCTTTAAGCACCTTTAATTTCCCGGTTCTGCTTGCATATTCGTCCCACCTAAATGAGTAAACTGTCTTGATATTTGCGACTGTTTTCGGACCCGCTCAAGACTGTTGAGTGGCTCAAACTACTTACCAAATCAATTGCGACAAAGTCTCCAGTCCATGTCTGGCACCAAAATACGTGCGTGCCGTAATATTCGCAATAATATCAGCGCCCCTCGCTTTCAACACTAAACTGTAGCTCTCGTCGGTGTTCAGTTTCAGCCGGCTGATGTGCCCATGCACCACACTAACCCGCACCACAAACACTGAAACATCTTCAGTCTTTTCGTTGAAATGGTCCCGATTCTGCACTAAGTTCACAACACTTTCATTGAACGATCGGAGGGCCTCTGTGAGGAGATCGAGAGCGGCACCAGTCGCTAATGGTTCGAACTTCAGATGCTGCACGTTGAATGTTAGCGCTTTGCTACCTGAAATCAATCGATATCGATCAAAGAATGGATAAGTTGAGTGGTTTTTTTCGTACCCAGTGTCACCGGGCCAGTAGGCTGCGGCCATAACTGAGTGGAACCACACAGCATACTGCAGGTACTGAGTGAGGTGATTTTGAGGGCGTCGGTAACATGGTGACGCTCGCATCTTTGGTTCACACACTGCCAGGTCCATTGAGGTTCTTCCAATTTTCTGCAACACACGTTAATAATCAGACTATTTTCTTCCTGATTATCAAAGGCGATGAGGCACTTCGCCCACTGCCTCACCGCCTTTGATTGATAATGTCCACCGCAGTTGTGGACGAAACGTCAGGAAGAAATTCCCATAGACCACGTGGCTTCAAAGCCCGGAAAACATTCCTAAATGTGACACGTTAATAATTTTAGAAAACTCAACAAAACCAATCTGGTTTTCAACCCCAGCCTGCAAATATTATCAACCGAAACGTTGTAATAGAAACATCTTTGTAAGCCCGCATGAATAAACCATCGAGACTAGTCAAATGTTCGAAAGCGGTAGGCACTGACAAATAATTTCGATTTTTTGCATTTTGTCTGGAAATTATAAACATTTCGAAACTGATGTTTTATATATTAAAGTGCGTATTTTATTGCTCTATACAACAATGAGAACTGGAGCTTTGCAGCGCAACTAGTTCTCAAAATATGAGTCAAGCACTAAGAGCGATTCTAAAGTCGCGCAGCAATTTTGAATTTTCGCATTTTGCCTGGAAAGTAGAAGCATTTCAAAATTAACGTTTTATATAATAAAATGTGTACTTTAATGTTGTATTTGTAAATGACAAGAACTTTGCAGCTCAATTGGTTCTCAAGATATGAACAAATGACTAAGCGCGCTTTGAAAGACCCGCATGAATTTTGAATTTTCGCATTTTTCATTTGTTCCTGACGTTTCGCAAGCAGAAGTGGCTTGCACCTTCAAAATGGTGCTTCGTACAGAAAACCACCTCTAAAGACGCAAGCCACTAGTGCTCGCAAAACGTCTGGAAGAATTTCATTCCCTCGACGGCCTAAAAACCCAAAAAATCATAAAATTTCAATAAAAATCCGCGATAAGTCACCGTTTTTAATTTCATACATTCAAGGTGTCAGTTTTAATTGCACACCCTGTATGGGGCAAATGGCAATATAAAACTCACTTCGCTTTCCGCATGCCGGTCTTGAAAATTTCCGGATTAACTTGCGATTGCTGGTATAGTAGGCCCTTTTTCGGACCGCGCAATGTTAATTATAGGCAAACTGGCAGGCCTACAAGCGCTAAATCGCCGGTTATACATG